GGTGACCTGTGGCCCGGGTGCAGGCTCTCTGTGGCCAAAGACTGGGTGTGGGAGAGTTGGAAGGGGAGAACATTCTTGACTAGGGGCAAAAACACAAAAACTCAAACCCACTGCCTTGGAGTAGGAGCTCTGGTGGCGTAGTGCCTAGGCATTTGACTGCTAACCAGAAGGCTGGCAGTTCAAACCCACTGCCCACAGGTCTCCAAGGCTGTCAGTCTTCAGGGAAGCAAAGCCCAAACCACACCCACTGTCACCGAGTCCATTCCGACTCACAGCGCCCCTAGAGGGCAGAGTGGAACTGCCCACAGGGTCTCCAGGGCTGTCAATCTTCACAGAAGCAAAGCCCAAACCACACCCACTGCCTGGAGTCCATTCTGACCCACAGCGCCCCTAGAGGACAGAGTGGAACTGCCCACAGGGGCTCCAGGGCTGTCAGTTTTCACGGAAGCAGACTGCTGCATCTTCTACGGAATGGCTGGGAGATTCAAACCGCTGACCTTATGGTTAGCATCTGAGTGCTTTAACCGTGGTGCCACTAGCACTCTTTCAGCCCTGGGCAGGTGGTCTGGGAAAAAAGGGTTCCTGGAGTGGGCCACTGGGGCGGGGGTGAAGGGTGTGCGAGCAGTAACTGAAGGGGGTTGGGGGACACTGCCGCCAAGCCCCCATGCTGCTGCGGTGGGTGGGATCTGGGTGCAGCGTGTGTGCTGCTGGGGTGACCCAGCTCATGTGTGAACACGTGTGTGCAGTCCCTGACGTGTTCCTACAGTGGCCTGTGTGTGTGTACACGTGTGTGCATTGAGCCCCCTGTGTGCTACCAGGGTGGCCTGCCCGTGTGCGTGAGTGTGTGCAGTGGGCCCTGGGTGCGTGTGGCTTTCCCTGGTGTGGTGCACGGGCCTCTCCCACCGGGTCTGATGGCCTTGGGAACGGCTGGCCTGCGTGCTTCCTGAGGTTGCTGGGCAGAGCTAGTGGGCTGGGGAGAGGAAGCTGCCTTCTGAGAAAGATGCTCTCTGCTTGGCAGAGGTGCCGGGTACCCCCACCCCCCAGAAATTTCCAAAGCAGCCTCAGGCGGTGGGGAACCCCCATCCCACGTGCCCTTGCTCACGTCATCAGTCCTTCCTGGGCCTTAAACAGGAGCAGACCGTGCCATTACCACACAGCTCCCTCGGCCCCAGACACTGCGGCACAGACTCTCCTGAAGGTCGGTGGGACCACTGGGCCAAAGGAGCGTGAGGAGGGGGCCTGGGAGGGGTCTCAGGGAGGGGGGCCCTGAGGGGTCTCAAAGCAGGGGGTGCTATAAGGGGTGTCAGAACCGGAGAGCCGTGAGGGGTGTCAGAGCAGGGGGGCCATGAGGGATCTCAAAGCAGGGGCTGCTATGAGGGGTGTCAGAGCAGGGGGGCCATGGGGGATCTCAAAGCAGGGGCTGCTATGAGGCGTGTCAGAGCAGGGGGGCTGTGAGGGTGTCAGACTGGGAGGAGCTGTGAGGGGTCTCAGAGTGGGGGCTGGAGGGGTTCTCAGAGTCAGGGCTGGGATGAGTCTCAAAGCAGGGGTTCCATGCGGGGTCTCAGGGAGTAGGGGCTGTGAGGGTTTTGGAGTGGGGGAGCTGTGAGGGGTCTCAGGGAGAGGGAGTTGTGAGAGGTCTCAGAGCAGGGTGCCAGTGAGGGGTCTCGGGGGGTGGCCATGAGGGTTCTCGGGGGTGCACTGTAAGGGGTCTCAGGGAGGGGGCTGTGAGGGTCTTGGAGTGGGGGAGCTTTGAGGAGTCTCAAGAGGGGGCCCGTGAGGGGTCTCAGAGCAGGGGGACTATGAGGGGTTCCAGGGGGCCTGGAAAGGATCTCAGGGAGAGGACACCCTGAGGGGTGTCCGAGTGGGGACCCCTGAGGCAGGGCTTGGAGCCTTGGAGGAAGCGTCTTGGTAGATGGGTGGGTGACAGTTTGCGTGAGGGTATCCCTTCATGGGGGGTGTCCAGGTGGGCAGCAGGAGCAAGGTAACTTAGGGTGTCTCCAGGGGGGCTAGAATCCCTTCAGCCAAGACTGTGGAACTTGTGGAATAGGAGCCCATGTCTGAGGCCCCATCAAGGTGGGGGCTGCTCTGAGAACCTTCTGGGAAGGGGTGCTGTGGGTGGAGGCCCCCAGGCCTCAGCCGGTGGGCAGCCAAGGGGCCAGACTGGCAGGGAGCCCTCAGACGACAGCGAGCTGTGCGTGCGAGGCCTCCTCGACCGCAGATTTCTTCCCTGAAAGCTCTTCAGGGAAGTAGACGTTTGCAGACGCCTCTCCACACAGTCAGAACCTGCTCTCGCTGGTGCCAGAGACAGGGCTGCCTTGCACCCCGTTGCAGGAGGAAACGTGGGGCCCGCTCTCTGCTCCCAGCAGAGCTGGGACCGTGGTTCCCCAGTCCTGGAGGAGCCTCGACCCCCTCCCCAGATGCCGCAGCTGAGCTCTTACAGTGCAGCAGTGGGGCCAGACTGCAGGGTGTGGGGCCTGCGAGCACACAGCTGTGGGCTGTCCCAGGCAGGAGGCCAGGTCCCTGTGGGGTGGGGTGAGGGGGCAGGCACGTGCTGGCTGCAGTGGCTCCCAGCGGCCCTACACCATCAGGGCTGGGCCCTGGGGTTTTGCACCCCAAAGGACAGCAAGGATGCTCCACAGCGGGGCACCCCAAAATCTCAGTGAGCCATGAGCCTCTTGCAGAATTCTGCAGACTTCTCCAGCAGTCACTGCCTGTTTTGTTTTACCAGAGACATTCAAGGGAATGTCACTTACCTCTGTAACTTGCCCCCACGAAACGTCGGGTGTGTGTGACCATTAGGGGCTGTGGGCATCAGGGCATCAGGAAGGAGGCCAGGCCAGGGGACCCACCACCCTCACCACCCTGCTCAGCAGACACCCCTCCCAAACCATCAGGGCCAAGGGCAGAGAGGGGCGGCCCAGGGTCCAGCTCACATGGAGGATGGCGGGGTGCTCTGTGCTGCTGGTAGTGGGGAGACACCCTCTTTGACACAGCTCTGCTCGCGGTAGCCTGGGCCACTGGTCAGGTCCTGCCCGGCCCAGGCAGGTCCCGGGTGCTGCAGCTTGTCTGGTGGCCACGCTCATCCAGTGGGTTCTATGTGGGCTCTGAGCTCATGGGAGGACACCGCAGAGCCTGGGGTGGCATCGTGGGGTGTGGACTGCAGCAGGCAAGACAGACGGGCTGGGGGCTCCAGGTTGGTGGGTTCTGGGAGGTTCTGGGAGGTTCTGGGGGTGGGGCACGTGGTCAGTGAACTGCTACCCAGAGCTATAAAAATGGTGGCCTGGCTCCTCTAACTCCACCAGTGGGACAGTGAAGCCACACCGGCCCCAAGCTGGTTCCTGGGAGGGGGATGGCGGACCTTCCTCTCTCCCACCTTTTCAGCCAGGCTGACACCCACTGTCCCCCCATGGCTCGCTCTGCTGGGTTCCACAGTTCACTGCAGTGGCCACACAGAACTCACAGACAGTACTCATGGCTGTGGGTTTATTCAGGAAGTAACAGGCTGCATGATTCAGGACCAGCAATGACTCGGGTACAGCTCTGTCGGGCCCTGGCAGGCCTCCCACTGGCTGCCGGCCGTGGCCCTCTGCTCTGCTCTGACGGGTGTCCCGCAGCCCTGGGCCCACTAACAGCGCCTGGAGGCCCCCTGCTGCCAGCACCCCGTCTCTCATTCCCTGGGTTGGCACCCACTGTAGCCGGTCCAGCAGGTCTCCTGCTTCGGCCATTTCTCTGGCACTCTGAGTGAGTGAGTGTGTGTGTGTGTGTGTGTGGCCATCATTTTCTTCTTTTTATTGTGATTGGGGTGAAAGTTTACAGAGCGAATAGGTGTTCCCTTCAACAACCCATACACGTTCTGTTTTGTGGCGTTTACTGCAATCTCCACACTGTGACAGCGTTCTTCCCACTTCCTCCCTCCACCCACCCCTTCCCCTAGTCCTTCCTTCCCATCCCCCAGCCCCTTCCAAGCCCTCTCCTTGGGTTCTGTGGGTTCTGGGTTCACCGGCTTCTGTCCGGTGGGTCCCTCCCATCCGGTGGGTTCTGGGTGGGCTCTGGGCTCATGGAGGACACCACAGAGCACGTGCTGTCCTCTAGATCTCTCGATATGTTGCAGGGTGGTAACAAGACCCTACCTGCCTGATGTTACTGTTCACCTTATCGACTTGTCTGTGGTTTGGCTGCCAGTAAGTCACAGGAATTAAGTTCAGTTGCTAGCTTGAAGGGTGTCTACGGGCCACAGTCTTCTGGTGGGTTCCACCAGTCTTCCTCAGAGCAGTGAGCCTGGTCATGTTTATGATTTTGAGTTCTGTTCCACGTTCCGCCTCCCCACCATCTGCATTATCCAAGGCCTCCTACTGAATCCCTTTCAGAGCGGCCAGCAGGAGTGGCCAGGCACCATCTAGTCCTTCTGGTCTCGGGGTCATGCAGGCTGGGTTCCACGTGCCCCACTAGTCCTTTAAGGAGGGCTGGTGGTGTAGTGCTTAAGTCACTTGTCTGCTAACCTGAATGTCAGTGCTTCATACCCACCAGCCGTTCCTTGGAAGAAAGATGAGGCAGTCTGCTTCCATAAAGATTTACAGCCTTAGAAACACAATGGGGTCTCTATGAATCAGAATTGACTTGATGGCAGTGAGTTTTGTTTTTTGTATTAGTCCTTTGGGAGAATTGTTTCCATGCATCTTTGGTTTCTCTTCACTCTTCTTTGCTGTGGTCAGGGAGAGACCAATTAGTGCACCTTATGACCACTCACAAGCTTTTCTTTCTTTCTTTCTTTTTTAATTTTCTATTGTGATTTAGTGAAGGTTTCAGAGCAAATTCATTTTCCATACAGCAGTTCATACATATTTTGTTTTATGACATTGACTGCAATTTCCCACAGTGTAACAGTTCTCTCCCCACCTCCTCCCCATGGTTACCTCTTCCCTGTGTCCTTCCCTCCCACGCACTCCTGCCCCCTGGGCTGTCTCCCTGTGCACACGCTGCCCTGCTGTTCTATGATTGCTCATTCTAAGGAGTGTATTTACCTGATGCAAATGTTCAGCTCATGTGCCTGTCTATTGTTTGGCTGGAAGCCACAGGAGTGAGTTCAGTTCCAGACCTGAATGGTAACTAGGGGCCATAGTCTCAGGGGTCTCACCAGGCTCTATCAGACCAGCAAACCTGATCTTTTGTATGATTTTGAGTTTTGTTCTACATCGCTCTCCCACTCTATGCAGGATCTCCTGCACTGATTCCTTCCCAGTGGTTGACAGTGATAGCCGGGCACCATCTAGTTCTTCTGGTCTCATGGTCATATAGGCTGAGGACTGCATGGTCCACTGGTCTCCTGGACTCATTGTTTTCATGCATCTTTGGTTTTCTTCACTCTTCTTTCCTGTGGTCAGGGAGAGACCAATAGTTGCACCGTAGATGGCTACTCACAAGCTTTTAAGACCCCAGCTGCTACTCATCAAAGTGAGATGTAGAACATTGTATTTGTGGACTGTGTTATGCCCGTTGATCTAAGTGTTCCCTGAACCCCCAGGCCCAGTGACTTGTTCCCTCAGGTGTTTGGTTGTGACTGAGACATTTGCATCCCTTGCCACTACTTCTTCAAGTCTCCGTGTTACAGCTCCCCATCTCCTGGGTCTAGGAAGTTCTCAGCCCAGGGATCCCAGGTCTAAAGGACACACTACACTCCCGGTTCTTCTTCTTGGTGGTCATCCAGTCCCCCTTTCTGCCTCTGGGGTGGCTCATTTTAAGCCTAGCGAGACGGCAAACCTGACCAATCCCCACATTAAGGTTCCATACACCATCTGTGCTTGGTCTCACCCCTACAAAGGTGCCACACACCTTACTTGCATTATGAGAAAGCTGCCCAATCCCCTTGGTGGGCCATAGGCATCTCATTTTCATAGTCCCACCCAGTCTTTTGGTGGGAGTTACAAGAACGTAGTGAGAATGGCCATATAAACGTGATCCATCACACTGCAGGAGCCTGATAAGGTGTCACTGTGGAACTGGACTGAGAGAAACGCAGCAGGAATCCTTCCAAATTTCTCAGCAACCCTGTGTGTCTGGCCAGGCCCCTCACGGTGGAGACACTGAGCTTTGCCACTGGTGGGAGGTGGAGCAGGGTGAGTCCAAATGCCAAATCCCAAATGTCTGACCAACCTCAGACCTCTGGGCACCAGTGTATCAGAATGCCTTGGTTTCCCCACTGGTCCAGGGGGCAGGGCTGGGCCCTTGGGTGTGCTTTCTATGGGCAGGGCGGTCTGGGCCATGACAGTGGAGTGGGGATGCCTGCCCACTGACCCCTCCTCCTCTCTCCTCTCCACAGCCTCAGCACCATGAATGAATCCTGCAACCACAGCCACTCGGCCTGGCCGCCCTGGGTCAGCCCCTTGACCTTGGCCTACACCAGCACGCTGCTGCTGCTGGGCCTGGTGCTGAACAGCCTGGCTCTCTGGGTGCTGTGCTGCCGCTTGCCGCGATGGACAGAGACACGCGTCTACATGGTCAACCTGGCGGCCGCTGACCTGTGCTTGCTCTGTGCCTTGCCCTTCCTGCTGCACAGCCTGCGGCATCGGGACTCAGACATGCTGCTGTGCGACCTCTCCCAGAGCATCTACCTGCTCAACAGGTACATGAGCATCAGCCTGATTATGGCCATTGCCGTGGACCGCTACCTAGCTGTGCGGCACCCGCTGTGGGCCCGGGGGCTCCGCTCACCACGCCAGGCAGTAGCTGTGTGCGCAGTGCTCTGGCTGGTGGTGGGCGGCTCCCTGGCAGCCCGCTGGGCCCTGGACGTGCAGGAGGGTGGCTTCTGCTTCACCACCCACACCCGGCAGCACACCACCATGGTCTTCTCGCTGCTCGGCTTCTACCTGCCGCTCGCCGTGCTGGTCTTCTGCACCCTGCAGGTGGTGGCCGGCCTGGCCCGGAGGCCAGTGGCTGACTCAGCCGAGGTGGAGGCCACCCAGAAGGCCACCCGCATGGTCTGGGCGAACCTGGCCGTGTTCGTCGTCTGCTTCCTGCCACTGCATGTGGTGCTGACGGTCTTCTTTGCCGTGGTCTTGCAGAGCTGTGCCTGGAAGCACATGCTCACCTTCTCCCTGCATCTCACCGCTAGGCTCTCAGATGCCAACTGTTGCCTGGATGCCATCTGCTACTACTACATGGCCAAGGAGTTCCAGGAGGCCCGTGCCGTGGCCCCCAGGCTCAAGGCCCCTAAAAACCAGGACTCCGTGTGTATGACCCTCAGCTAGGGGAGGCACCCTGGGGCAGGCCTCTGCAAGGTGCTGCTGGTAGGCCCTGTGGCCAGCAGCCAGAAGCCCCAGAACCTCTGGCGAGTCCAAGTAGCAGCACCCCCCCTCTTGGGATGTGACAGGAACAGGGATGAGGGCAGGGGGATGGGGCTGGGCCCCGGGGCTCAGGGGGCTGCACACTTAGACGCCCTGGCTGGGCGCATCTGGGGCACCGGGCGTGTCAGCTGGGCGTGGGCGGTTGGCAGCTGCCACCCCTCTGAGGGCAGAGATGAAAGCTCCATGCATAAGATGAGGCTCCTGGAGGGGGTGGAGGTGAGCCAGGCTGGGAGGGCAAGGGGCCCTTTCCCAGAGGCCTCCGGGGCCCTCCCTTGAGGGCCTCCCTGTGCCCTTTTCCCACCCCCCTCCTGCCCTATCCCCCAGCCATGGGGAACCTGGGATTCTACAAAGGACCCACTGGCCCAGGGCGGCTCAGGATGGAGCTGCTTCTGGCCACAGGCTGGGGGTGGAGCACAGCGTTGAGCAGGTGTCGGGGCATCGGGCCTGGCTCCTGGTGGCCGCCCGAGTTGAGCAGGTGTCGGGGCATCGGGCCTGGCTCCTGGTGGCCGCCCGAGTTGAGCAGGTGTCGGGGCATCGGGCCTGGCTCCTGGTGGCCGCCCCGAGCGCTGGGGCAGAGCTGTGCTCCACAGGGTCTCAGGGCCGGATCACCAGGAAACTCCGAGGCACCTCTGGGTAGACTTGAACCCCCAACTGTGCAGAATCATTGAGGATGTTTACTGTCACTCTGAATCACAGGGTCATGTGTGATGGACGGAGTAGTAAAGTGCTTAAATCCACCGTTTCTCAGATGATGTGGGCAGGAACCACAGAAGTTCCACACGGAATGAGGACATCACTAGTCACAATGTTGTTAGCCACCTAGCCAGAGCCTTTCGGATTTTTCTCCTTCCCCTCTAATGACTTCTCCATTCTCAAAACAGTTACCGATGTGGGTTCATGGATACTGATTACCACAAGACTGTAGCTAAAATCCTAGAACACTGGACAAAATCAACCACTATGAAAACGCCGGCAGCCACAAACAGTGTGTGAGTGTAGCAAGAGCAGCCGGCAGCACTGGTCTGAGCATCAACGTAATTGGGCGATAGTGACAGCTCTGATCGGAGTGCGTTCGACGGTTCCCATAACCACTTGGCACAGAGTGCGAGCCTGCAGGTCTGTTGGGACACGGAAGCTGGGCTTACGAGAAATGGTTTCGTTGTTGGAATGACGGATAACTTTACAAACTAATAAATTTCTTCTGACACGCAGCACATATTGGTGTCCCCCTCCCCCGACAGTGTCACCAGTGGGGTCTGCACCCCCCCCCATGTCCTGGTAGTGAGGCCGCTGGGCTCTGGCACTGTGCTGGGGAGCCCCGGGCATTTTGATTCCTAACTTTTGTATGTTGGTTTCCCACGTTCTGAGACCTTGTGGGATCTCTCCCTCATCTTTGGAGAACTGACATGTCACAGCAAGGCTCCTCAGGACAGCTTCCTGCTCAGCTGTGCGGCTGGGCACGTGGTGAGTCCCCCCCGACTGAGGACGTGGGTCCTCTCTCTCTCCTCCACCCAGGACACCTGTGACACGGCGCTGGAAGCTCTGGGACTGGCCTCTATTTCTCTTATTTTTCATTTCCTGCTGCCCTGCCCTTTTAATTATTTTACATTTGTTTTGTTGTTGTTGTTGTTATGTGCCATCGAGTACATTTGTTTAGTGAGGTGAAATCCACGTAACATGAAATTTGTCATTTCTGAGCAGACAGTTCCTTGGCATTTTCCTCAACCCCAAATAAAACCCACTGAGCGGTTGTCTGTTCTCGGCTTCGCACTGTCACCAGTCTGCAGTCTCTGATGTGCTGTGTCCACACTGACACTATGTAGCCTTTGTGTCCAGCTGCTTTCATGCATCAAAATGTTTCCAAGTTTTGTCGGCTGTCAGTCAGTCAGACCCTCACTTCTGTCTGTAGCTGAAGAGCACCATCCCAATGTGTTTCACATCAGGTTGCACTTATCTGTTCATCAGTGGTTGGCAGCTTGGTTGTTTTTGCCTATTGGTGTGAACGGGACTACAGTAAACATGGGTGTGTACCTTATCAGTTTGCAGCCTGCTTTTAAGTCTGATGGCATAGTTCCTAAGGCACTTGACTGCTAACCAGAGGGCTGGCGGTTCAAACCCACCAGCCACTCCTCGGAAGGAACGTTGGGCAATCTACTTCCGTAGTGATACCACCTCAGAAGCTCAAGAAAGGGTCACTATGAGTTGGCTCTGACTCTAAGGCAATGCATTTTTTTTTTTTTTATTTTTTAAGTGTGAGCATATGCCTGGGGCTGGACTGCTGGGTCATAGTATAAGTTTTATGTTTTCTTTCTGAGGGACAGCGAGTGGCTGAGCCGTCTCCCGTTCCCATCAGTGGTGCGGTTTCCCCCCGTTCTCAGCACCACTTGGCACTCTCCAGCTTTGGTAATGGCTCTCCCCGTGGGGCGGCGGCCCTGGTTTGGACCCACAGCTCTCTAACCGCCGCCGACAGCATTAGCATCTTCTTGTGTGCTTTCTGGCCATTTGCAGTCTTTGGAGAACTATCTTCTCCAGTCCATGTCCATTGTTTTTAGTATAAACACACATTCAAGCAACAGAGAGCTCTCATTTGATTTCAAAACTTGCAGAGAAATATAATAAACTTGTTTTACTTTATTTATTATAAATCTAAGAAGCAAGACTATTTTTTAAGTTTATTTACTGTGTTGTGGATAGGGCGGGGTGTGCAGAGCAAATGGGATTTCCTCCAACGATTAGCAGGCATTTTGTTTTGTGACATTCATTGCAGATCCCTCATGGAACAGCGAGCGCCCTTCCCTTGGCTCATTCTGTGATTGGGCTGTGGGTGTGTTTTTATTGCTGAGCTGCGAGAGTTGTTTATAGGACTGAAGACCAGAGCCCTGTCAGATACTCAGTGGGTGAATCTATTCTCCCAGTCTGTGTGTTGCCTCTGTCCTGTCTTGATGACGGAGCTTTATGCTGTGGGGAGTATTTAATTTTGATGAAGTCACTTTATCTGCTATTCTTTTCTGCTTGAGCTTTTGGTCCTAAGCCTCTGTGTCCCATGGAGTCTGTATTCACCTGGAATACAGTGCTGGAGTTTCTGTGGCCGTGTCGTTTCAAGAGCTCCGTGGTGGCTTTTGGTAATTACCTCTTGCAGAGAGCGTCCTGCCTCCCTCCCAGACGCGCTGTCTCCCCGCGTGTCTCCGAGGACACCAGTTACAGTCTGTCTCAAGCCCACTCTGCTGCTTCCGTCCTCCCCAGGTTCTCCCATTGGCTCTTCCTGTGTCCTGGCCCCTCTCCCCCCGTGGAAGGCCCACAGTCTCTTGTTCCCTGCTGGGGGCTTCATCTTGGCTGCAGATGCTCTGGGGGAGGGGCTTCTTGAGGAAGGGGGCTGCAGTGTGGACAAGCAGGCAGAGTGCCCCTCAATCTCCTGTTCTCAGTGTGGCCCCACTGCCACCTTCCCCTGTGCCTGGTGTCTGTGCGGGAGGTGGGGAGGTAACCAAGGAAACACACTTCTCTGCATCTCAAGCAGATCTGAAAAACCAAACCAAACCCACAACTGTCAACATGTCAACTCAGAGGGCCCCTGGAGGACAGAGTGCAACTGCCCACAGGGTCTCCAAGGCTGTCAGTCTTTACGGAAGCAACGCCCAAACCACACCCACTGCCATGGAGTCCATTCTGACCCACAGAGCCCCTAGAGGACAGAGTGGAACTGCCCACAGGGTGTCCAAGGCTGTCAGTCTTCACAGAAGCAAAGCCCAAACCACACCCACTGCCCTGGAGTCCATCCTGACCCACAGCGCCCCTGGAGGACAGAGTGCAACTGCCCCACAGGGTCTCCAAGGCTGTCATCTTTATGGGGGACTCTGGTAGCACAGTGCCTAAGTCATCTGACTACTAAACAGAAGGCTGGCGGTTCAAACCCACCTGCCACTCCTCGGAAGGAAGGTTGGGCAATCTACTTCTGTAGTGATACTGCCTCAGAAACCCAAGGAGGGGTGGCTATGAGTCAGGTCCGACTCGACCGCAGTGAGTTTGGTTTTTTGATCTTTATGGAAGTGTACTGCTGCATCTTTTTCCAGCAGACTGCTGACCATACGGTTAGCAGCCAAGGGCTTTAACCACTGCACCACCAGCACTTCTTCAAGCAGAATACCAAACTCCCAAACTCACCGCCTTCTAGTCAACTTTGACTAATAGTGACCCCCATTGGATTTCCAAGGCTGTACATCTTTATGGAAGCTGATTGCCTCATCTTTCTCCCAAGGAGTGTCTGGTGGGTTTGAACCACCAACCTTTTGGTTAGCAGCCAAGTGCCTTACCCACTCCACCACCAGAGCTCCTTTCAAACAGAATAAGAGGCGAGAACTTTGATGCTTGAGAAGCTGTGGGAAGGTCTGGGAAAGGGGAGGCCCAACAGCCCATGCCCAGCCTCCAAGTCAGGGCAATGCAGCTGTCAGCCAGGGGCTGGGACCCAGCGGGAGAACACCAGGGCTGCCCCACCTCTCCAAAAGGAGGAGGTGGTGAATGCTGAGTCCAGCCATAAGTCAGCGCTTCCGGAAACTTCTGCCACCATCAGGTTGCCCACGTCCCCAGAGTGACAATCTACATAAACCACAAAACCAAACGAAACTCACTGTTGTCAAGTCGATTCAACTCACAGCAACCCCTCCTTGGGTTTCCCAGGCAGTATCTCTATGGAAGTAGATTGCCCAACCTTCCTTCTGAGGAGTGGCTTGTGAGTTTGAACCACCAGCCTTCTGGTTAGCAGTCAAGTACCTTAGGCACTAGCCACCAGAGCTCCCTTGACAATCTATATAATAGCACAGAAATGGTGCAAATACCCCACAGACCCCAGGGGTCAGCCTCCCAGACCCCACCCCAGAGGCAGAGTGCCTCCTGGTGGCACAATCTAAACT